GGGCCGATTTAGAAAGAGAGATCCTCCCCACTGTACTACGATCGAGGGATGATAGCACACAGTTCACATCTTCCCCAATTATGAGATTATGTGTTGAAATATTAGGTAAATTTGAAAAAAGTGTATTAAAAAAGTTTGATCATCCCAATTTGGAGCATTTACTGAGACTAAAATGACTGGAAGTGCATATAGTTTTCCCACCACAATAACATAACGTCCAGCAGCGTCCGTTTTAACACTGGATGCACCTGTTTACTAACTAAGATGGCCACCCCTCTCGATTTYGATTGGAAYTMAGASTGYAACACCTGACCAGACCAGCGCCTGCTTAGATTTGCACTGTCTGCCTTACGCAAATGGGTCTTCTGCAAAAAAGTAATATTAGCATCAAGTTGACTTAAATGTGTCATAACTTTCCTAAATTTCACTGGACCATTGAGGGATTTCACATTCCAACTCACATAGTTAACTGGGTGACTGTTGATGAACCTGTTAATATTAGAACTGCTCATGTGTGGTCAATCAGACTGTAGTACAATATCCACAAACCATCACAAAAAATAACCTGAAAAAGACATTCTCAAAACAAATAGATCCGGTATAGTCCCACCCCTTTCTCCTGAAAAAAACACGGAGAACCCAACAAACGAAAAATCCACACATTTGTGCTTATACTGGGGGGCTTAACTCCCTGTCTGGACTCCCGCCACAACCAAATAACAATAACAAAAATAAAAAATAAAAAACAAAGGGGTTCCCTTACTTTAAAGTATTATTACTGTTTATGCTCCTTGCTGCACTGATAAATATATCACTAACCAAGATCTGGACAGACCCCCTGTGAAACTCTCGTACATAGAACAAAAAGAGGAATGTTGTCCCTGAGAATAATGTCTAAAATTAAATCAAGATATAACGCGGGACATAAAGTTAAAAGGTTCATTACAACCTGACAGTCATAATGGATCGATGAGGGTTGGACCTGCGGTCAACGCCGGTCCTCGTTGCCCGTCGCCGAGATGATCCTCTTTTTTAACGTAGTCCATTGCTTTATTGGCATCCAAGAATTCATTGTTTTCCTCCCCATGAGAGATGCGGAGCCGTGCAGGAAAAAGCAGGCCATAGCGAACATCTCGTCGGTTGCGAAGGAGACTCCTCACCTCCGTAAACGCCGCTCGGACCTTGGCCACAGCTGCTGTGTAGTCAGATGTGATGGTGATCAGCGCCTCTTTAAAACGAAGAGGACCACGACTCCGAGCCCGACGCAGTATTTCCACACATTCTTGATAATGGTGCAGCTTAGCGACAATAACCCGCGGCTTATCGCCTGACCTGTTTCCACCTGGAGAGCGATGGGCTCGGTCAACCAGTGGCTCTTTATCCATCTGTAGAACCTCTGCTAGCAGTTTAGCCACTGCTGAAGTGGAGCTGGATTCTGGCATCTCAGGAACTCTAATAATCTGCACATTGCACCTTCTCATGCGCCCTTCCATATCGTCACACTTCTTTTTGAGCCCATCGACTTCTTTCAGTTCCAACACGCTGGTGCGCAGAGAAACAACCTCTTCGGACCAGGTTGACAAGCCATCCTCCACCTCTTTAACGCTCTGTTTAACGTGGTCCAGGTCTGCGCGCAGTAGCATCGTGCCGTTAGCCACCTCTGCTCTCACTGCTTGTAGCTCTCCTTTAATAAGAGTAAACTCTTCAGCCAAAGCCGCTTTTATTTCAGATTTGATCACAGCTGAGAGATCGGTTTTTATAGCGGCAAGAATGTCAGACTTCAAGGAGAGTGCGTCCACCTCACTGCGGGAGGGAGAGGAGGGCCCCGAAAGTCTGGTTTTAGCTGCAGTCTGCTCCGAAGCGGCGTCGGGCCTAACAGCTGCAGAGCTGGAATGTTTGCTTTTCTTCGAGTTTGTCGCCATTCTTCTATTCTTCCAGGCAAGAATCACTCAGGGGTCGAGTCCGGATGGACCAAATGTTCAAAACAGCAAGGACATTTAGTAGAGAACCATAAACAGAACAAGTCGGAGCGGGAGCCCACGCGACACACGACTCACTCCTCCGCCATCTTGCCCCGCCTCCGGATTTGAAAATTTGAAAATATTTGAAAACTTCTGATTGTAGTTGTACAACTGTGTGAATGTGTATGAATTTTCTTTCCTTTGTTTTTTTCTATTGTTTGCTCTGTTCTTTGTTGTGCCTTGAAAATGTTATTTCTCCTGTTTATTGTTATTATATCCCTAAAAAATGCCTATGTAATCTGACTTATGGTGACAACTTTTGGACTGACTTATGGAGACAAATGTTTATATATTTTTTGTCAACCATAACAGTGTCATTTTATGTTCTGAAGGCTGCATGATGCTCTGTGTTTGGTTATGAGTAGACCTATCACTAAATGAGAAATAGTGAAAACACCCCTCTAAATTCACTATTGGTGGTTATCAGTATTGCTCCTGTTCACTGGGTAAAATTATTAATATTAGATTTAAACATGCAGTTGAGGGTCATAATTTTTGGCACAATGACATGTTACAGTTAAAAATAAACCAATAAACAATATAAAAGTAAAAAGCACCCATATAGTCATTGGATATGATAAATTTTGTCAGGTTAATTAATCTTATCTCAGCTGTAGCAGTGAGTTTAAAAACAGGATGATGGAACTAGATTATGAGTAATCTGTCTCTGAAATAATTGTTAAATTAAGTGTTTATTTATGTAGGTAAAATTACATTTAACAACCTGGTAAAATACACCAGAACGCAGGAAATGGCATCTATTTTGTTCAAAATTTTCTGGGGGAGGATCCCCAGACCCCCCAACAGCATGGCCCCCTACTTTTAAAATGGTTCTGACGCCCAATAAGGTAGTCACTGGCAGTGTCCAAAATGATGGGGCGGGTTCTCCAGAGGACCCAGCCTACCCGGTCAAGGTGGGCTGGGTCCTTGGTAGACCGGGAAGACCGGAAAAAAAAGAGGCTGTGAATTTGGACGGTCTAGCCACCCGTCCTTACCCCGGCGTACGTCATGTCACCTAGGAAACATGACGATGCTAAACAGAAGCAAAAATAGATCAAAATTAGAAAAATATAAATAAATTAGTGTTATTATTAACATCTCAAAACAATAAAATTAACTTAAAGGTAACATTTGAAGAACTAATTGACCCGCCATAGATGCATGTTTATTTTGCATTTTTTCATGACAAAAATATTTGAAAACAAGTCTATACAAGTGATAAAAATATTAGAATTACAACCGCTAGAATATTTTAATTTTTATATCGCCATATTTTTATTCAAAACGTATTCTTTTCTCTCGCTTCGTCTGTGATTACTAGCATTAAAAAAAACCTCCGGTCGGGCCACAATGCATTATGGGATATGCTGGGCATTATGGGAAGGATCCATCAGACCAGTCCTTCAATTCAATTCAATTCAATTCAAAAATACTTTATTGATCCCAGAGGGAAATTAGGTAATTCGGGCCTAAGGAAGGACGCATTTGTCGGCCGCATCGTAGGAGTCTTCGGTTTTGGACAGCCTTGGTCGTGGCGCTGTGACGTAAGCGGCCAACGAATTCGGCCTTCGGAAGACCCGGCCCACCGTTTTGGACACAACCACTGCCTGTATAAGGACGTAAGGAAATGACCAAAACACAAAGATCTGCAGAAACTTTCAAGTAAAATTTTATGTAATTTTCCTGGCCACCCCTGTGTGAGTAGTGGTCCCCGTCTGACCATCCCTGGGAAAAATGTCTGGCTCCGCCACTGCTTCAGTGTTACCTCTTCCTTTAGGCTTTGTTTCTTCTGCCCCAGGCAGATTTCTTTGGCCCTCATGAGCTGCAGAGTTTCTTTAGAGAGAGCGTACTGCAGACGCTCCATACGTTCAGCCGCTGCTTCCCACGACGACTTTCCAAACTTCCTCTGGTCTGCACGCATTCGTTCATACACAGCTGAAAAACAAACAGTAAAACCTAAGACTGTCTGAAATGGACAAGACTGACCCATTATACCATTTACATAATAACACATTAACACTTATGCTCACTAAATCCATGTTCATATAAACGTTTTAAAGAAGCAGCTGAAAATATTTTAACATTTGTTAGTTGATACAGTATATTTTCCTGCTGAATATAATTAGTTTTAGGTGAAAAGAAATTGTGGAACAAATGAAATGGCTAAGTTTGAAAAACAGAATAAAGTTGTTATAAATGATGTAATACGCTCATGTAAAGGGTCAAACATAAAAATACGAAAGTTCAATAGTCAAAGTAAAACAAACACTAAGCATTCTCTCATGAAGGGAGGAAATACCTCTCTTCTTTGTTCACCTTTCTGAGCTCGAGTCGTGGTTTCAAAGAACCTGACTGTCAGGTCTTGAATGGAGAGCACTGCAGCCTGGGCCTTCCTCTGCCACTCCTCATTCTCTTTCCTCAGGCTCTCCACTCGTCGAGGGCCCAGACGCTCCGTCTCCAGGCAGATCTACCAGGAGGAGAAGCAGGTCGTCAGAACTGGTTCACATGTAGTCATTTTAACAGTGTTCAGTTTGGTAGCTTTTCAAAATTCAGACATGTTTCTTTCATCAACACGCAATTACAAATGTACAAAGTTACAGGCTGTTGTCATGTACTGGTACATTTCTGTTAGGGCTACACGAAAGCTTTAATGTGTGATAACTGTGCTTAATATTGCCATGACAATATGACTTGTGATAAAAGAACAAACACTGAAGTTGCAGTGTTGATGTCTTTCTGCTCTGGGTTCGTCATATTTGAAGCAGAGAGGAGCACCGAGCAGACTGACCGGGGAAATCTCTAGTCAAGTCTGCCTGCTGGCATTAATCGTATTAATTGTCAAGTGCTAAAAAATAATTGATTAAAGTTTTTCTGATGATTAATTGCACACAATACAATTTTGCCCAACCCTACCATTCATACACACATTCATACTCTGATAGCGGTAAGCTACATTGTAGCCACAGCTGTCCTAGGACACACTGACAGAGGTTTCTCCATCTCCCCCATAAAACATTTTCTGATGGTCTAAATCAGGGGTGCTCAACCAGTCGATCGCGATCGACCGGTAGCTCGTCGGCTGGTTCCCGGTAGCTCACYGACCACAACCTTCCTCTAACAGCTGAGAGCCGGCTCGTCAGCTGAGAGCAACAGTTGCGCTCCGGTCCGGGACTCACGTCCGCTCGCTGAGCTCTCCGGCAGAAGCGGTGGAGGTGGGAGGTGGGAGGAGTTTACATTCCAGCCTTGAACACGCTCCCTCCGGCTCATCAGCTCCGCTCACAGACGTAGTCTCGCGAGTTTTGGGTGTGGTGAAACAGCACTCCGAACACGGTCTCGCGAGACTTTAGGGTCACGTGTTCGCAACAAAGCAGCGAGGCGGGAAAAAAATGAACGAAAGACAGCTAACAAGCAAATAAAAACTTATTATTTTCACCTGGAGTGGAAAGAGGACTCATGTAATTCGAGCGCTGCCTTGGCTTGTCCAAAAAGGATAACGTGGAACTGCATTTCTTTCAAAACAATGCACAAACACTATGAGATGGATTCCCCCTCCTAAGCTAAGGTAAGCTGCTAATGCAGCCCCGTACCTGCCTCAACACAAAAAAACACTGTGGAAAACTTCTTTCAGGATTAAGACTTTATTTATGAAAGAAGCGTTTGATGCTGCAGACGTGCTTTTCCGTGATTTTAAAAATAAAAGTGGCTGCTATAAGACATGCAGCTGTCCACCAGGATGGATGGATGGATGTGTCCAAATTCGTGTTGCTGGACTGCTCCGGTGTTGAAAATGAGGTTTTGACTCTGCAAAATGACATTGGGATCAAATCCAGAGCAACAAGTCGCATGGATGGAGAGTTCTGGAGTCAGCTTTCTCTCACATGAAAATCATCAAGTCCAAGAACAGAACCACAAACACCCGCGTAATTTACACGGGGGTTAAGGGGGTTATAACCCCCCCCCCCCCCAATAATTTGATTCAGTCAATATAACCCCCAATGAAATTGCATCATTTAAGTATATATACTGTATATTACATCAATAATTGATTTTTTTATTCATTTACATTTTTTAGTAAAATTGCTGCATGTTTTAATGCAACCCCCCACCTGACCCCCTCCCCTGCAAAAAACTTGGTATCACCCACCCGCTGTCTGTACAAGTGGCCCGGCCGCTGCTGTATGTGCACCAATTG